TTGTTGTTCCCTTTTCACGTAAATGGCCTCCTTGACTCCCCACTCAAACCAGCGTTCCTCCCTGTCCAAGATGTGTACATCCTCATCATTGAAAGAGTGTCCACTGGCCTGTAGGTGTAAATTGACTGTGGAGTCCTGGCTGGACGAATTAACTCTTCTGTGTTGTGCCAACCGCTTAGCCAGAGGTTGTTTGGTTTCCTAACGTATAAATCACGGCAATCCTCCTGGCACTCAACAGCGTACATTATATTACTATTTTTATTTATATTGCCTGGAGACTGGATCCTTGGGGTGGACCACTTTATTATCTATTATTTATAAATTGGTCCACCGTAACAGAGTAATATACCATACGCTGTTAAGTGCCAGGAGAATTGCTGTGATTTTTACATTGGGGGAAACTAAACAACCTCTGGCTAAGCAGATAAAACTGTACAATGAAAATATAGGGCTGTTCTATTCTATTCTATTCTATTCTAAATCGAGGACGGGACCTAAGGGTATATCTTTCACCATCTTACAATGCTGTCATTGCAGCCAATCCTCTCCGTGAATGGTACTCATGGCCATGGTTTTTGATCAATGGCTACTGACAAATGGTTGATCAATAGTCATGACAATTAGAATATTAATGATCAAAAAACTGACCCCCTCAGCCCATTGTTCATGAGTGGTGCTAGTATCAGTCATTGTGCAAAGATACTGTTTATAAGGTTGGGGAGCTCAGACTGAAGAAGTCACTTGGATGATAACGAAATATTTCTCCCACTGAAACGCTATGTTCAGATGAACAGAATCAACTTTTCGTGATATCCTTACCTGGATGGTTGAGCATGCGCCAAGACATACAAAACTATAACAGTTGTCTTTAGATCTAAAAAACACCTAGGTCCCTTTAGTCTTCATGGCCAATATTAGCTGATTTCTAACTATCAGAGATGTATATGATCTGTTTTATAATGTCTAACATTAAGTTCATTAAGTTGAGCACCAATCGTCACTACATGACTGAAACATAAACTGTCTTTGAATAAAGCACATATACATGCACACAGCTTATGCTGCGTATTAAACAAAACAAAACAAAAAACAGGTCAGATGTCAGAATTACTTTATTTTTATTCTGTAGATTCCCAAAACTTAACAGACAGCTGGTGTTTATAATAGAGTTGAATAAATATTAAAAACATATTTTGATAATTTCTGGAGGATCTCCATGTATAGCATCAACATGTTGGTCCAGGTATCTCTGCTCCTAGTGATAAAGCTTGCAATTTCCACCTGAACTAAAATACTTTAATGTTAATTTTAAAACAAGTATAGCACATTTCTACATCAGGGAACAAAGATGAGTGAAATATTAATTTCCAAATATACAGAAAGCTATTCTATGAGAGCTAAATAAAACTGTCCATATATTAAGCTTAACTTAGTTAAACTTACTTGCTCAGGAAAAAATAAAACACTGAAATAAATTGATCCTTAACCATTGGAAATCATTAAAGTGAAATATATCTCGTGGTTAACTTCCACTGAGCTGCAAAAGCCAGCAGTGTTTTGTAAATTATGTTGTTCTCGCCAGGTATCATGAGTTTCAACTACCTGGTCAGCTAAGAGCTGGAGAGGTGAGTTGTAAGACCAGCAGGAACACAGATCTCTGAAAATTAGGCACCTAGAAACATTTTACAAATGAAGATAGAGTATTATGCTAAAGGCTAGCAGTTTCATTTCTCCTTCTAGTCTTCTGTGCTAAAGGCTAGCTGTTTCCATTTCCCTGATTTTATGCTTTGGCTAGCAGTTTACATCTATTTCCAGTCTTTATGCGAAAGGCTAACAGTTTCTGCTTTTAGTTTTCAGTGCTAAAGGATAGTAATTTGAGTATCCCAGTCATTATGCTAAAGATTAGCAGTTTTCCCTTTGTTTTGAAACCCTTGGTGACGCTGTATTGTGAGGTTCATGCAGTCGGTGTCATTGCTGCTGTCAGATGAGCATGCAGTTATTTCCTCCATTCGCTGTGTTACATCACTGCAGCTGTTTTATTGCAGATTCAGCACTAGTGCCTCACTGCAGACATGCACCACCATCAATGATTCATGACCAAAACGGCAGCAGATGGGAAGATTGATGAACTTTAATGTCCTCCTTCAGGTTGTTATTTTAAATGATGGTGGACATTTTGGGTGTTTGTGGAAATGCAGCTGCTCCCTGAGGCAGTACAGTATGTTTGACACTAAAGGATGATGTCCTTATTTTTGAGGTAAATCTAAATTGGCACCGTGGACTTTATCAAACTGAAAGAGGACAGCATTGTTTTTGGCTATTTTGAGCAGCAGATTAAACTAAATTTTACAGTTTTCTTTTAGGCAAAATTAAACTGCTGTCTGTGTGTTTTCATGGTGAAGAAGGAGCAGGTCAAACAGTGCAAAAGTGTGGCTCACTGTAGAAGTGAGCAGTAGCAGATGAGACTTCAGGCTTTGAATCAACCACTTTGTACAGCCGGCTCTCTGCACTGACAGAAACCATTTTGAATAAAATCTTTCTGGTAACTAAATTTTCCACTTTCTTCTCATTATTAGAGAGGAGGAATACACAGGAGGAGCCAACTACATATTTTTTTGTCATTATTAAAAGGGAAATGGACCCAAGATGCAGACTTAAAACAAACTTGATGAAAAGAAAACTGACCTTTATTTAAACAGCAGCAAACCCCCATGTAGATGAAAACTGAGGTTCAAAACTCCAACCTATGGCAGAGAGCCACAAGACAACCAGTACCCAACAGGAAAACCAGGCAAAGAACTAAGAAACTCCAAGAACTTAAATACACACATGAGGTAATCAGGGAGTCAGTCAGTCGCAAAACGTAGGCCACATCCTTCGAGAAGGCCGGAAGTACGAGGCTGTGAAATGGGATGGTCTAGCCATCAGATCTGCGCTGTCTCGGTGGAGTTTAACAAACTCAGCCATCTGCTCCTTGCTATCTAAAATATAACAGGACACTGGCATAAATTCTCGACCGTCGCACATTTCTGTTTAATCAGTTTTCTGTTTGACGTTTATTCAGCTGTGTGAAAATCCCGGAGGAACCCACCTGATGGATTAATAAAGTTTTATTTAATCTAATCTAATAACTTTGATCTCAGCCAAACCGATTTACTCCGGAACAAATAAAACACTGAAAAAAGCCAAACAATAACATTTTTAAGTTATCCGAGTGACTTATATATCGTGTTTAACCTGAATAGCGAAAGACGGCGGGGGTCTGAAAACGATGAAGCCGGGAGTCTGCTGCTCTCGCCAGCTCGAGTGACCATTGAGCCCCCGGTTAGATATCGAGCGAGTGGGTAACAGACGTCTCCGAAAACGTTGGAGCGCTTTTGAAAATATGTAGTGTTTTGATTAACCAAGCAGATATTTGAAGTTTACACAGCTACTTTCTCGCCTGAAAATAGGTTAAAAGTTTATTTTGTGACCGAGAAAGATTAATAAGGGTAATATTAAAACTTAGTAGCTAGCACCATTGTTGGAAATTGGAATTGGCTGGGCCGCGTTATTAATTTTGGGATATGGTGGGCCACGAAGGACACACCCGACCAATCCTTCAAATTCGTGGAAATGAAGGACGCATTTGTCGGCCGCATTTAAAGGAGTCGACAAATTGGGACAGCCTTCGTCGCCTGGCTGTGACGTAATCGGCCTTCAAATGCGGCCTCTGAAGGATGCAGCCTACGTTTTGGGACACAGCTAGAGAGAACAGCTGAGGAAAATAAGACACAAGTGAACAGAATCAAACTAACAAGACAGAGGGGAAGAAAAACTAAACACACTCACTATGTATTAATAGATCTCTTTGCATTGAATCATATCTGTTATTAACCTCTGTCTCTCTTCCACAGCATGTCTTTTATCCTGTCTTCCTTCTCTCACCCCAACCGGTCGCAGCAGATGGCCGCCCCTCCCAGAGCCTGGTTGTGCCGGAGGTTTCTTCCTGTTAAAAGGGAGTTTTTCCTTCCCACTGTCGCCAAAGTGCTTGCTCATAGGGGGTCATATGATTGTTGGGTTTTTCTCTGTATCTATGAAGCGCCTTGAGGCGACTTATGTTGTGATTTGGCGCTATATAAATAAAATCGAATTGAATTGAAGACACAAGAGACACAGGCTATCAATAATAATGCATAATGTTAGCAATTAGCAACAGTGAAATCACTCAGTCTAAGACTTCATAATGGGACTTCACTAATCATTCGACAATGCCACATTGGCTATATCTGTATTTTATGCCCTTTGTGGTCTGGGTAGGGTTGTGTGCTTTTCCGACAATATATTTAACTGACTAGTTTTTCTGATGTGCAGAGGTAAAAGAACCAAAGTTGGTCTGGCACATTCCTGATGAGACTGACTGCCTGTTCACAGGAAATATTAGCTGTAAGAATTCAGTTCCTTTTCCTGAGCTAACACTCACTAGCCATATAAACTGTGTGGGTTAGGTTCAGTTAGAGGTAAGGAATAGACTAATGCAATATCAGAAATTGACTCACAGAATCTCAAACTTTGATCAACTGTATCACACAGAAGTCCACAATATTCATCAGATAATCTATTTAAAATGCTTCTTAAGGCACCAGCAGCACAAACACAATGATAGGTCATATCTACCAACTTCTGTTTTTCCTGGAAATCTCCTGGCTGTCACTATCCAAACGCAGCCAAACGCAGTATCCTGAATTAATGGCTATCCTACAAAAATATTAACTGTTCTCCATAGTTTCACCACCTATTAGCCAGAACAGTCATGCCCCTTACATTAAGCCTTACCAAATGAAAATGGATAAGATTCACCTGAGATTTTTTTACTAAGGGAGAAACTATCCAAAACCAGGTGTAACTGTGTTGAACATGGGACTCTGTAGGGACTGACTCACCTTTGGAGCCAGCCTTTAGTGGCTGTTAGAGGAACGACACTTTTTTGAACAATTATTTAACACAATAAAAACACGGACTGAGGTTTTTTACCCAGAGAGGATTTGGGTTTAGTAAACTTTTATTCCATAATTGATTACAGTTAAACTGTGTGGAAATTTCTAAAGCAAGATGAAGTCACTGAGTTATTGTGGTTTGTTAACAGCCAGCTCCAGTTATACTGGGTCAGCTGGTTTTAATGGCCCAGGTCGAGAATATTTGGCGGTTCTTCTGGCTCCACCTCCTGATTGGTGTCCTGCAGGAAAGAGAGAAGATGTTTAGAACAGGTAAACCACAAAGTGTAGAAAGTTGTGGTGAACAGGACAGATTTTTTTTATTGTAATCTGCTGGAGGGTCATGGAAGAGCAGATGCTCTGGCTGTGGTTACTGTAGCTGCACAGATGTGCAAAGATATCTGCTAGAAGGTTGTATGGCTGGTGGTTGCACACATTGCAAGATTAGCAGTAAGGAGACCCTGGTTCAAATCCTGCTGATTCCTTTCAATTTAATTTTTTTCTGAATGTTTTAAGACTATATTATAAATTCTGGCTCCACCAAAGATGTGCCTCTTATTAAGCCGCACTTTACTAAAACCACTAAATGAAGCATTATCATTATCCATTATCATGGATCTGTAATTTCATGTATTAATTTGGTGATGCGGTGAAATTGCCGAAACTAAAAAATATAGCCAGAGTCCGCCCTATTCTCTCTCGGGCCAACACGGAGATGCTGATGCATGCTTTTATTACCAGTCGCATTGATTACTGTAATGCCCTGCTCTCTGGTCTTCCTAAGAAGAATATTTCAACTTTACAACTCTTGCAAAACTTGGCAGCTCGTGTGCTGACGAAGACCAGAGGGCGGGCCCACATTACACCGGTTTTAGAATCGCTGCACTGGCTCCCCGTGTGTTTCAGGATCGATTTTAAAGTTCTTTTATTGGTTTTTAAATGTCTTAATGGTCTTGGGCCTTCTTATCTCTCAGATCTGCTTTTACCATACGAACCCTCGCGGACCCTGAGGTCCTCTGGTACTGGCCTCTTGATTGTCCCTAAAGTCAGGACACATACTCACGGAGAGGCAGCTTTTCAGTGGTATGGTCCTCGTCTGTGGAACAGCCTGCCGGAGGAGCTCAGGGCCGCAGAGAACGTACATGTTTTTAAGAACAGGCTCAAGACCCACCTTTTTAATTTAGCTTTTACTTAGCGTTTATTTATTTTTTATGCTTATTTATTCTATCCTGTTATTCTATTATTAATTTAGGATTTACCTAATATTTCTTGATTTTATTCTTATTCATTTTTTAATCTTCTTATTCTATTTATATTTATATTTATATTGTATCCTGTTCTTATTTATTTTATCATTTTACCCTGTATACATCGTATTGCGTCATATCTCCAGTGTTTCCTCGGAGGGCGCTCTCTGCACCGGGGCTGTGATTGACCGTGGCTGCTGGGTCTCTGTGGTCCTCTCAGCCTGGTTGGGGGGCTCCTTGGCCTCCCTCCTGCTGTGTGCCCAGCCCGGAGGCTGCGGTCTGTGACCGGCTCCCGGTGCAGACGGCTCTCTGTTATAATGTTTCCTCACTTGGCTCATGCGAGCCCAGCCCAATTTTTACTCTTTAAGTGTGCGCGTGTGTGTATGTGTGTGTGGGTGGGGGTGGGGGGATATATGTGTATTGAGAGTGTGGGGAGTGAGTTGGAGGGTGGGGTGGGCTGCTTTTAACTATGTAAAGCACTTTGTGCTACATTTTTTCTGTATGAAAAGTGCTTTATAAATAAAGATTGATTGATTGATTGATTGATTGATGATAACTGGAATGTTAGGTTTTGATGAACCAGCTAGTAGAGAGAAAAGTCTGGCTGTGTGGAACCTTTATCATACCAAACCCCTCTAGTCGCACATAAAGCACCAACTACAGCTTGGTTGGATTTAGGCGCCACACCAGGTTTATGGTGAAATCGTTGAGTGCACAGTGAAAATTGTCAGAACAAGACTGCTACATATAACCACCATGCTGGAAGCTGTCGGGACATGCTGTGGAAGATGATGTCAAAGGGGATACTGGGCAAATTATATTTATTTATTTTGGGGAGGGGGGGTAGTTTAATTTGCCAACTTGTGAATTTGAATTTGATAAAATAATACCGTGTATGGTTTCAGATGAAGTTTGAGAAGAAATGTTTTTGTTTCAAGTCAGGACTGAAAACTCAGAACAATCAATAACTTCACATGGTTGCATATTTACACTGAGGTGTTTCGTCATTTCCCATAAAAGATCCTTTTACTATTAAACTTAATAAATCATTGCCCCTTCTGAGCTTTGAAGCTTTTTAATAATTAACACATTTCACCTACAGCAATAAATCTGACAGCTGACTGCAGCAAACCACATGTTTACATTAAAAGTAATATTCTAAAATTATCTTTGTTCATTTATGTTTTTTTAAGCCTGTCTTGTATGGCAGCTTTTACAGTTATAATCAGAATGTGACTGTTGTGCCAAAAACATTTGCTTTTCCAAGATGAGCTCTATAGACTCTCTATAGGATCCTCTTGTTTGAGGCTTTCTTTTTCTACTTTTTACTTCTTTACTTATTTCTATTATTATTCACGAGTGCATGTGTAATATGGGAATGCCAAAGGTGACAAGGCGAAAGAAAAGGAGTAAAGAAGGAGGGAGAACACAGGGGAAAACATAAGAATAAGAGGACAGAGCACACGTGGAAAACACACAACACATACAAAAAAAACCCAAATCACACCTGAAAAAACAAAAACATGGATACACAAACCAGCAATCTACATGTGTGTGTATTGACAATGACAGTGAGAAATTACAATAATGCCCCCAGGAGCCAGAAGCGGACAGAGAAACACCCCGGAGACCCCTAGAGTACTGAAGACCCCAGGTCACACGTCTCGATGACAACTGTGTGCCCCTCCCAGCAGAAGGAGGAGGGAGGCCAGAGATGGAGCCCTCAAGGCCAAAGGGCAACAGCCCCATAGTACCAGACACCGACAATGCTGCCATGAACTGAGAACAGGGCTCCAGATGCAAGAAACTGCCCAACAACCACCAGAACCACCACCGCCACCATGAACCAACAGTCGAGACCCACCCTGGGTAGGGTGCAGGAAATGGGTGTAGGAAGACCTGCCCCGACTTGCCCACGTTGGGAGTGATATGCTGGGTGTGTCAGATTCTATATGTGTGAGTGATATGTTGTTTGAGGGGTGTGTGTGTGTGTGCGCTGTCATGATACTTAAGACCGGAATGAGAAAGCCAGTTAAGCATCTGGCTTGGTAAACCCACACCCCATCGCAGGGCGGGGGAGGCAGATCTGGGACCGTAAGGACAGCACCCCAGAGCACCATGGCAACCAAGGTCTACATCCACCGCAAAGGATAGTCTCCCTCACCTGAAAACCCCACCCCTTCCACTCCTTTACCTTTTCTAGAACTTGCCTGATTTTGGTGGATACGAGAAAGCTAATGCCCAGAACAGTGGGATCAGACTGTGTGCCCCACACACTATTTACAGCAATGAGAGTGAGGCTGATGTGAATTATCTCCTGCTGTGTGTAATGTGTGAGAGAACGAGAAAATGCTGCCCAGAAGACTGTCCAATTTCACCCTGCCACTCAGGAAATTATGAATCTATATGGAGTCACTTGGGACACTCTTTTCCTTTTTTAAATTAACCTTTACAACAAAAATGTGAAAGAAATCTCAAACATGCTTCATTTCATTAAACCCAAACTCCTGAAATAATCACACAAAGTCTGGAAGTGTAATGACACAAATGGGTGCCACACCTTGATTGAGTGTGCTTAGTTAAGTCTGTTGGAGGGCTTCATAATATAATGGCAGTTGCTATGCACTCAATGTGGCAGAACTTCCACATGAATGCACAAATGGAGTGAAAGTGTGTATGGAGAGGGTGTAGAGCACAGACAGGAATTGTGTAAAAACATTTAATTAACAAGTATTTTTAATTACAGCACTGTGCAAGAGTGTGGACCGACCCCCATGTTTTAAAACTTTGCTGGTAAAATAGGAAATGAGTGAAATGCTTCAAACATGTACAAACATGAATGTAAATACGGTACACAAGGCACAAACAGATTCTGTACAACTATAATGAGTTTGAAGTCAATATTTGCTATGACCACCTTAATTATTTAACATCTTATGCAAGCTTTTTTGTAATTTGTTTAGTTAGTCTTCAGGACTAGTTCTCCAGGCTTCTTGAAGGATGTTCTTGGCTGCCTTTTGTTTCTTTCTCTGTCAAGATGATCCCACACTGCTTCAATAACATTGAGGTCTGGGCTCTGGGGAGGCCAACCAATTAAGTGCTAATTTAAAATTTAAAATTGGTTCTTTGCTAAGTTGTCTGTTACGTATAGACGTATAGACAATACTGATTCATCCCTTCAGTTAGGCGCTTTTGCACTGCTTGAATGATTTATAGGTCAGTGTAAATTGGTTCAACACACAAAAAAACAAGTGGTCAAGTACAAGGACTGGACTGAAAATGAGTAAAAAAGCAGCCAATGTCCAAAGAAGAACTCTGAAAGGCCTCCAGAAACCTGGAGAACTATTGCTCAGCTCATATTAATAAAGGTCTGGCTCATTTAAATCAAAATATAAAGAAATGAGAGGTGCCTAAAAAACAAAGTGGAGTCTAACATAACATTTCTTCCACATTGGGTCCCTGGGATTGCAGATCAGACTCACTGGGCAACTAAAACAGCTAATTTATTTCTATTAATTTGAATTTAGATATTTCATATGCTCCTTGCTTCACGCATAATAATTCGGTAGTTTCATATTTTAACTTAATAATTTAAATTTGCAGAATAACGAGTAGATAAAGCTTTAATATATTTACACCTGCTGTGTAAAACAAGCCAGTGGTGGATGGTAGCAGGTGCTTTCTTTCACAATGAAACTATCCAGAGCCAGCGGCTGGTCAGTGAGCTTTTTTAAACTTCTCCTCGTACCCCTGTTTATTTTAAACGATTATTTAAAAGAAAAGAAAATGTTATATATTCTAACTGGATGCCCAAATGATGATGACACCAAATGTGATCCTGTTAATTAACTGACATGAGATTTTTTCTTTAGTTGGAGATTATCTGTGGCTATGACCAATGCTAAGCTACTCTGTTGCTGTCTGTATAGTCTTACACCATAACATTTAACTGAGACATGACACTGTTTCTAATCTTCTGATCTAACCCTCAGCAA